GCCAGCACTTGGTACGTTCAGTTCGAAAATTTTTCAAAGTGTTGTTTACCAGCGCCACGTTAAACCGAGCAAATGAGAATTTATCAGACTGGGGTGAATATTCAATATACCTCTTTGGCTTGCTTTTTGTTTCCAACTGATATTTAAGAGAACTCTTTCTTTAAAATTTCGTCTTATTCACGTGCACATATGTACGCATCTTTAGCAAAAAACAAAGGGTGGCATTTTCAGACGAACCTTAGAGAGTAAACAAAACGAACAAGCTCAAGAGGCCTATTGGAAGCCACACCCCAACTTTATTGCACCAGCATGTTTTGTTTTGTTTTGTTTTGTTTTGTTTTTTCTGGCAAAAGTTCTAATTTGCATGAACGAATTAGTGTCCCTTTAGCACGTGAAAGTCAACAATGTGCGAATGTTTGTCCACCAGTGCCATTCACCGCACGGGTTCCTCCTCAAAAAGGTGACTATGATTGTCTTATTCAAGTTTCATGCTTCAAACCGACGCCCAAAGCGCGCTCTTGCTGAGTTGGATAATTGAAAGCCTTAAAATATACCCGAACAATACGATTAAGTTTTGAGACTTATTCTTATAAATCTGAGTAGGGGAGGTATATCGATATCTACAGACTGAAGAATAAAGCAAAGTGAAAAATGTTCAGTTTTATAGTTAAGTTAAGTTAAGTAGGGGGTGAACATGAACTGAAATTCGAAGACCGCTGAAATTGAAAAGCGTGCGTGGGCACCGAGTACCAGTTTTACCACCTGTTGGAGAAGACAGCTTTTGAACAATTTCTTTGGTATTGGAGGTGTCGAGGTTTGTTCAAATTTGGCTCAGCGCCTACGTCAAAAGCTTAAAATGTAGCCCGTTTACTTCCAGCGTTACAAGCTGATTTAGGACGAGCTTGGTAAGAAGTTGGACTGACGCGCGCAGTAACATCCAGAAAGGAACGCTTCAGATAGTATTGATAAGCACACACAGATTACGGTAAGAAAATAATGATTTATAAACCATTCATGCGGGAATGTGTGCCTTTTATTTCCAGAGTGTGATACCTTGTACCTGTCTTATTCAAATTATGCGGCAATATAGAATATTTTTGTCCATCTGCTGGGAATCGTTCACATGGTTGTTCGCTGAAATCACCGGACGCCACCCTTATCTTCCAACGTTACTAAAAAAAAAAACATTTTCGTAGACTCAGTTGCTTCAGGGCCGATTGCCTTATTGCTTTTGCGGGTTTTCATAGGCCTTTAAAAATATAACAATTGGCACAAAAAGATTTCAAGTCCGAGTTTTAGCACATCGGTCTGTAATAATTATCATTTTATTAGAAAGGCGCGGCCTATCGATGCTAAAGGTTGCCCTTTAATTTGTTGTTGGTGATTCCTGAAATTAACTGTATTATAGCAATAGAACCACCAGTCAATGTAAACTGAAATTTGTATATTATCTGACATAACGAATTCCGCAGAAGGCAGATGGTACTTGATACCGTATCAAGTGACTCGAAATTGCTTTCAGCACTTTTTCTCCGTTAAAAATTTTGTTGCAGAGACAATTTTATGTCTTCTCCGTATTAACTTTGTGTAAATTTTTTCTTTTTTTTTCAACTTATGTCACACCCTTCGTAAAATGGACTATCCATGTTGGAATAAATACCATCCACAATACACCTGCAAGACATGAATTATTTATCTAAAAATCCGTTAATTTGGAGCCTTTCCAGGTATTCAACCAAAAATTACCACACCTCAGTTGTCAGTTGTCGCAAGCACATCGATAGTGCGGTTAAACATATCTCTGCGATGAATAAAGCTTTAACAAAACCTCTGCGATATCTAAGTCTCAAAAGGTCTCAAAAGGGCCGTTCTTGCAGACTAGTTGAGAAAAAGAGAGAGTTTTTTCCGTTGCTTCTGCTTTATGTAACTAATATAAATGAACCAGAGCGTGCCAAAAGAGGTTTTAGCAGTCAATCGAAAAAAGGAATTCGAGGACATCGAATCTATCAGTCTATTGACATAGAGAAGACTGATTAGTGCTGAATTAGTTTTCTTATCAGTCTCAGATTTAAAGGAATAACTAACACTGAGCCCCAGATTACAGAGCCTTTGCCACTTATATTGTTATTAATATTAATTCATTGCGAAAAAAGAAATTTTGGTCCACAGTGATAAAGTAGAAATGGCCGGCACATGGTTGCGCTGCGAACGGAAACTTTTTAAAGCGAGCTATCAAGTCATAAAGCTGTGCAGTGAGTTTTAGCAGGATGAAAAAAAATGCCATTATTTTTCCTCGAATAAGTTAAATCAAGAGAAAATCAAGGAAAAGACAGAAAATATCATGATCAGGGCGTTGGCTGGGAATTGACATTTGCCATTTCAGACGTGATTCAATTACAGCTGTAGAAATTATAGAAACTTTCATGCTTCTTGCGCTCGAGCGGTCATTTTCGTTAGTAGTAGTAGTAGTAGTAGTAATAGTAGTAGTAGTAAAACTTTATTAAAAGTGTCAAGAGCCGTCTAGCTGGGGAAAAATCCCTTACTAATTTGGGGGCACTAAAAAAGAAAAAAGATTAGTAGCTATTTACAGTAGTATATATATTATAACTAAGAGAAAATCTATAGTTAACTAATTACGGGATTTGTAATAAGAATATATAAAAATTCAAGAGGAGCAGAGACTACAGCGTGTGCAGCCATCGTCCAAGAGCTCACTTATACTGAGTTGGCGTATCTTGCCTTTGAGCGACTTGAGGGTCTCGACCTCCCTTATACTCTTGGGTAATTTTGTCCATATAGCCTGGGCCCTAGAAATCTGATAGAGTGTTTGCCATAAGTGACAGTTTCATACCTGGATATAGAGAAATCGGCTTGCCTCAGATTGTAATTACTATTGTGTACTCTGAAGATGTTACTTATATATGCAGGACACAGCTTATGCTTTACTTTATACATAAGGATGCAAATGTCCTGTAAGCGTCTATTCAATAGAGTGGGCAAATCTGCCCTCTCTAATAACTGTTTGTAACTAGAATTATAGTTCTTGAAAACGGCTCTAAGTCCTCTTTCTTGTAGTCTTTCAAGCTTTCGAGTGTCGCTCGCTTTACCAAAGTGCCACACTAGGTGACAATACGTGAGGTATGGTAAAACCTCGGTAAAACCGCGCTTTTGAACTGTATTAGCTTTGATTTCGTAGGAATTAAATTA